TGTCAAAAATGCGAATTTATTTTGTTCTATTTACTAGGCAATGCTTTGTCACTGTGAGCTCTGTGGCTCTGCTGGGAGGTTCTGTACAGAGCTGCACAGAAAAGATGTAGCTGGACAGAAGGGACCAAGCTGTGGCACTGTGACACTGTACAGCTCTGTACAGCTTCACACAGAACATTGTAATTTACTGATGTAGGTATTAATTAACAGTATTGTTTCCCAACAACTACTGAGTTTGCTTCGTGCACAGGTTATGAGCCCTGGGCTCTAGATCAGCCCAGAAATCGCACGAAGCAAAGTACTCAATACCCACGTTTATCTAACAGCTAAACACCTCCTAACGCAATGGGAAAATTTGACCACATTGCCAAATTGACCGGCTCCGACAACTATCCCAGTTGGCGACGAGCTGTAGAGTTAGCTCTAGCAGGAGAAGGACTGTGGAACCATTGCAGCGCAGGCACCGATCCTCACGATATTGCGGAATTCGCCAGCGTCATGCCCACAGCCGCAACTGTGGGACAACCCACAACCGCAGAGCTCGCACTCATGAAGGAGTGGATAAAGGAAGACGCTCAGACGAAAGCCATCATCGGAAAGAGACTCTCACCTGTTGTTCAAAGCGTCCTCGGGGAGAAGTTAACGGCTCGTCAGCAGTGGGAGATGCTCTCCAAATGCTTCGCTCGCCTTGATGTTACCTCCCAATACGAACTCCATGCCCAGCTCTTCTCTGAAAGACTGAAGGATCCAGAGGACGCTTCACACTACCTTGGAGTGTTTGAGAATGGGCGTCTTAGGTTCACGGAGATGGGTGTCATCTTCACAGACGGAGAGAGTATCTTCATGCTTCTCAATGGTCTTCCTGAAATGCCTCAGTGGGTCGTGTTTCGCAGTCTCACTATGGCGAAAACATCTTCAGCCACAGCAATACCCTCCAACCCAGCTGCAGGACTTACCTTTGAGGAAGTAGCCACGTCGTTCACTGAAGAAGCGAATTGACAACGCGGCAAACAAAGAATGAGTGCCCGCCCAGGGTCAGAATATGCTAACACCACTGTTACGCATAATCAAACCGAGCGTAAGACGAACGCAGCCACTGGAGTACGGATTCACAAGCACAACCCTAAGGGGGTGCCTTGTGAAAACCCTGTATGTGTCAGCCTTCCCCGTTCAATGACACATGACGTTGAACATTGCATGCATGGCAAGGTGAATGAGGAGGTGATCGTGGAGGAAAACGGAAAGACGTATCTGCTGCGGCTACCGAGTCCAAGACTGAGCCTGCACCTTCCTCTTCCACCACTGAAACATCAGCGCTAGCCGCCTCATCATCTCACACACACGATTGGTCCTGCGCTGTAATTGAAGAATTCGTTAATGAATCGTTGCCGAAGGACGAAGACATCACCTGTATCACCAGCCAGATGCTATCTACCATCCTAGACTCCAGCACCACATCAACACTCATAACGAATCGGAGTTATTTCTGGACTTACAACTCGAGTGCGAAGGTCGCTGTGAAGACAGCAAACCACGGGCAATTAGCTACTTCTGGACAAGGTGATTGTGTTGCCGAACTCACCATCAACAACCGAGTTCAACGTCTGCGTCTCACAGAGTGTCTCCATGCCCCTGGGGCATTGATCAACCTGTTGTCAGTGGGGCGTATGCTTAAGAAAGGATGGGCGTGCAACTTCCTACCTTTCCCACCCCGCTGTCAAATCGTCTATTGCGGAGATTGCCTCGGTGATGTCCCCATGTCTGGAAATCTCGTATTCTTGGATCTTCGGTTCATCCCACCTTCCACTCCATCACTGCATCTCGAGATCTCGGCATTTGCCAAGGTCCCCTTGTCTTGGGACCTGTGGCATGCACGATTGGGACATCATGGAGGTGAGGCTGTGAAACGTCTGCCTCTTTTCTCCACTGGAGCAAAGGTCGACGCCACACTTCCCTTGTCCACCTGTGAGCCGTGTATCATGGCAAAACACCCTCGTAAGCCATATCCTCCTTCCAAGACGCCAAGGGCACCTGCCATGCTCGACCTAGTCCACTCAGACCTATGTGGTCCTTTCCCTGTCGAGACACCACATGCGAAATGCCACTTCATCATCTTCCTCGACGATCACTCAAACCTCCTCAACTTGCAACTTCTTGCGAGCAAAGACCAAGCTTTGGAGGCATGGGAGCTAATCCGTAAGTGCTGGGAGAACCAGGCTGGTCGGCATGTTAAAGTGTTTCGTTCAGATAATGGTGGTGAATTTATCGGGGGGGCATTCACTCAAGCATTGACGTCAGCAGGCATCACTCGTCAGCTCTCTGCACCCTACGCACACCAGCAGAATGGCAAGGCTGAGCGTGCGATTTGCACTGTTGAAGGCAGACTTTTCACCATGCTTGAGGCCGCTAACCTTCCTGTGACCCTGTGGGGTGAAGCTGCGCTAACAGCCTGCTATCTCTGGAATCGCAGTGAAACCTCCACCCTTCCTCCCGGCATCACCCCTTACGAAGTTCTTAATGGCCGCAAGCCCAACTTGGCTCACCTACATGTCTTCGGGGCGAAGTGCTTTGCGCGCATCCCCACAGAGCTGCAGACCAAAGGTGGACCGCATTCCCATCTCGCCATATTCATGGGTTATCCGGAGGGTGTTAAGGGTTACCGTCTCCGCGGCAGGGAGAGCGGCGTATTCTTTACTGCGAGGGATGTAATCTTCGATGAGAACCTCCCATCTATCGCTCATCACTCTGACTCTGATGATGAGGAGGATGAACCAACCACTCACGTCCCTTCCTCGGCTACAGCGCCTCAATCCATGCCACCACCTGTTACACTTCCATCGACTCCTCCCGTGGCAGCACCACGTCGTTCGGCTTGCACAAAGGTGCACACTCCTGCTGGGCAGGCCTTTGCGGACGAACTCGCTGCGTCCAAAGCGCGCCTGATGGCTCTTCGTCATGCCTGAGCAGACCACGCTGTTGAGAACTCTCTCCGTGAGGGGGTGAACATGGACAATCGCATGGAAGCTATTCCAGAGGATCTCACCAATATCGAGTCTAACGTTGACGTCACGGAGGTCATGGCCAACGCCTGCATCGAGGAACACGCTCACATTGCAATTCACAGTAACTGCAAGCGCAATCCTTCCAACCCAGACTATGACATGGCAATCCCTCCTGCTACATACAATGAGGCCATGCAACGTCCCGACCACGCACACTGGCTCACCGCCATGAAAGCTGAACTATCGACGATGAAAGACATGAGCGTCTACAAGTTGGTAAAGCTACCTGAGGGGTGGAAAGCCATAGGCAACTGCTGGGTTCTCGAATTCAAAGAGGACACTAAGGGTGGTCCGGTTCAGAAGGCGCGCTTAGTAGTGCAAGGCTTTTCACAGATCCCTGGAATCAACTATGGAGCCACCTTCACACCAGTAATCAAAATGGCATCAGTTCGCTTCATAGCAGCCTTAGCGTGTCGCAATGGCTGGGAACTGGACACATTCGATGCGAGGCGTGCTTATCTCTGGGGAGTCCTGAAGGAAGAGATCTACATGCGTCAGCCTAAGGGTTTCGAGGAGGGTGACTGGGCCATGCTCGTTTGGCTCATGCTCAGGACCATTTATGGCCTGAAGCAGTCGGCCATGGAATGGTATGAACGGGTCAGGGCAATCATGACGGAACTCGGCTTTACTCACTGCGCTGTTGACCATGCCATCTTCATCTACAATAAGTTCACCCCCTCCGCAGGTCACATCTTTTGCATCGTAGGTTGGCACGTCGACAACGGCATGGGAACCTCGAACTTGAAGCCTTTTCTCACCTACGTCAAAGGTCGCATCGCTCAACGCTTTGGCATCAAGGACTTGGGACCCATCACCAAGTTCCTTGGTATTTAGTTCGAGTGCTCACGTTCAACTCGTCAACTCTGGATGCACCAAGGCAAATACATCACGCACCTCCTAGATGAGTATGACCTCCTTGATTGCAACCCAGTCCAACTGCCTCTCGATGCCAAAAATCCTTTTGGTCTTGCGTCTGACGTTCACAATGACATCCCAAACCTCCCTACTCGTTATCGTAAGATCGTTGGGGAGCTTTTGTACCTTTCCGTCTGCACCAGAGCTGACATCTCCTTCACTGTGAATGCCCTCGCCCAACACTGCGCCAATCCCACACCACGCTTCTATGCAGCAGCTAAGTGCCTTCTTCATTACCTTAGTGGTACACAGAACTATCGCACTCACTACAGGGGTGCTCGCACAGATGAAAACCTTCATGGGTACTGCGACGCTGATTGGGCAGGTTCACCTGATGATTGTCTCTCCATCTCAGGGTATGCTTGGTTCTTCGCCGGAGGTCTCATTGCACACGTCTCCAAAAAGCAGACCACACACGCACTTTCTTCGACGGAAGCTGAATATATGGCCGTCACTCATGTGATACAGGAAGGTATCTGGCTGAAATCACTCTTTACTGCCCTCCATGTCCCAATGCCTCTCCCCATCATTCTCTACGTCGACAACACTGGCGCAATTGCGCTGTCCAAGGAAGCCAGGTTTCATATCCGCTCCAAACACATCGACATTTGTTATTACTTCATCTGCGAGTATATCGAGAATGGTGTCTTTCTCCCCAACTGGTTGCCGTCCCACAGGAATGTCTCGGACATCCTGACGAAGGTACTACCTCGTCCTTTGTTCGTTAAGCACGCAGAGGGGCTACAATTGGTGTCACGTGAGTAGCATCTCGGCGAGGGGGTGTGTTGGCATTGGTATGACCATTCTTGCCTTATCTTGAGTTCACCTTTGATGCCATACATTACATGAGCTTCTTCACTTCTTGCACCATACGAACTCTACCAGTTGTGCACCATACGAACTCTACCGGTCGTCAATCCTCTGTCAATCCTCCGTCAATCCTCCGTCTCTTAGCTAAGCCGTTATTGTTCATATTTTACATAGACACGTCCTCGACAACACCTCAGTATTGTTTCCCAACAACTACTGAGTTTGCTTAGCGCACACTTGTCGGATCCAGTTATCTGGAAGGCTGTCTTCGTTCTTTAGGAGGCCGCTCCAAGTCTGTAGGACTGTGTCTATTTTGATAGCTTTCTTCCCGTATCTCGTTGAGTCGGTGAGCAGCTGGTCGAATTTTAGTCTCATGTTAATGGCATGGATCCATCTGTTTATAATTTCGGTATCAGAGTGATATTTTTCTTTATCTCCACCATACTTGATGGTCCATTGGCATCTAATTTTCCATATTAAATGTGCTGATTCTGTCACTAGGATTTTGAACAGTCTTGTTGCGCCCACTTTCGTTTTTCCTTTCGTGTTACTGAAGGTCGCTAGGTTACACCTTAGGATCATTCCAAAGCGAATTTCTGGCCAGTTTGGCTCTCTCTTGCACCATAGGTCACTCGCTGCTTTCCAGATAATGCGAGACGTGGATGAATTGTCACAGTCGAGAAGGATATGTTCCATAGATTCAGGTGAGTCACATAAGCCACATTTGCCTCTGTTTTCACAGTGGGGGATTTTGTCCCAGAATTCACCTATTTTTTAGGCGCTGTGCAGACATTTCCATAGAAAACCTGGAACACTTGTTGGAATTTCTCTGGCTCTGATCAATAGCCAGATTTGGTTGCTTGTGGGGGTTTCTCCGTTGATGTCGCATATTGTGTATTGAGTCATTGCTATGTTCATTGTGGTTAGTCTTCTTCGTTTAGGATTTATTTGGGACTTTCTAATATTTTTGTAAAATAGGTGTTGTGTGCCAGTGAGTAGTTTCATACCTGTCAGCTCTAGGGGTGTGTTTATTTTTGTTTTGACATGATCATGTCGGTTTTTGTTCATCCCTGATTTAGCGAGGGTGGCGGCTCCGTCAGAGTGGAGTTTCGGTGAGGCGATCTCAACCTGGCTGGGCTGATATGAAATATCTAAAAATGCTCAACCAGTATAAGTGAGTCTTGGCTCTGCCTAGCTGCTATACTCGCAGAATGCAAGAACGTTCGACCCTAAAGGGGACTGCTACTGAACACAGAACCAGATGAAAGAAAGACCCTTGAAGTGCGATGGATGCGCGAAAGCACAAGAAGAAAAGCGAAGTGAGCGCAAAGCGCGAGAGAGCGCACTAAGGTAAGCGCGAGCGTGGGAACGTGAGCGCTAAGGCGCGCGTTGTGCGGAAAATACCGGATAAGGAAACGGATAAGGAAGCAGATGTGCAAAGTGAGTGCAAACGCAGAGCGAGTGTTATAACGAGCATGGATAAAGGTCTAGTATAGGTGGATAACGATAACCATTGGAAACACAAAGTGCGCCCAAGTGGTGACTACTACTCTAAGGTAAAACCCAATAGCGAGGGAAGTACAGCAAAGGGGAGTAATAATGATGAAGTAGTAAGTCAGCAAACTTTATACTATGGAAATCACATCGGAAGCGGAAGGGATAGGAGCAGTAAGCGCTATGAATACGTAATGACATGTAATAGCGCTGCAATGCTTGTTACAAACCACGAGGCAAGGGATATGATGTACCAATGAGGTGGATGGACATAGAGGGACGTTCCTGGATGATAGGCGATTCAGGGCGATGCAGGGCGCTTAAGTGTGAGAAAGCGCACAAGGTGCGTGTGTGGGAATGCTGCGCGTTGTGCGGGAAAGTACCGCGCCTATGGCGCGTTTCGCGGGAAAGCTGCGCGTTATGTGTAAAACGACTAGGGACATGATAGAAGTCGAATATAGCTGATGGTGCGAGTCGTGCATTGAAGGCCAATTGTCATGAGTTGTGAAAAGGTGCGAAATATGCCCATATGTGCCTGCAGAAACGTGAGTCTCTACATCGGTGTTGATGTTTCCCATCCTGTGAGGGTGGTCAGTGTGTGGCGTTCCCTTAGGTTAGTGACTAGCGCGACCATCAATTCTTTGTTGGGGTGATCTAGCCAATCTGAGTCCTCGTGTCTAGTTAAGTTAATTGTCAAGTCTTTCCGAAGTTTAGATGATTTGACTGTTACATGCAGGGGAGTATTTTTGGGCATGTTTGATATGGCCATGAGGAGGGCTCCGATTTCTCCTGCCCCTGGTGTGGCCATGTTTGGTGGCATTTTAACGGCGATGTTGCAGCAGTCGTTTTGTCCAAACCACGCACCACCTCCTGACATGTAGTCGCCGTCTTTGTCTACTAGGTGTGTACCCATGATGGTCACATTGACTAGTTGTTGGGTGCCCCAGGGTTGTGTCTGAGACTGACTTGCAGCTACGGTGCAGGGAGGCCTTGGTGTTACAAAAGCTTGGAAGCCCACTTCAAGTGAGTCTGGTGAGGGGAAGGTGGGGTCAAATATTCTATTGCTTTGGTCATTCTGATTTTCATCATTACCAGTAATTTGTTCTGGCGCTATGTTAAGAGAGTAGGAAGGGGAGCTCGTTTGAGGATGCCATTTTGGTAGTAAGCATTCTAGAATGTCTTTTGCTAATTTCGCGCACTTAAATGGTTTGCTGCAGTTTAACATCATTCTGTCCTCTGTACAGTGTTCACAGGGACAGTTTTTGTTCTGCCTATGGTGAGGGGAGTGTCTTAGTGTGATATTTTCCAACTGGCCCACCGAGGTGATGTGATGTTTTTCCCTTAGGCACATTGCATATATATGATTGTTGTACTTTTTCAGATTATCTGAGGCGCCGATGTGGAACCATATTGGCAGCTGCCTTGCAATATTCGGGTCAATGCTGATGGCCTCCCATCAAATGTTATATTTCTTGGCTGTTTTGATTATTTGTTTAAGGCGAGAAGAGAGTTTTTTAGCGGACGGGACCATGTCTGGAGGAAATGATTGATCCTAGCTTCCGGTTTGACCACAGGGGAGTCCTGTGCTGCTTTCGCTATTAGCGCATGAGCAAAGAATGCCCATGGTGGGCGTACATAGTGTGGAGTGAGTAGGCCTTTCAGTCATTTTAGTTCAATTGCCTCATTTTGGCTTTTTAGGTGTAGGACACCCTTACCTCCTTCTGTTACTGGGGCGCAAAGTAAGTTCATACTTACTGTGTTATTTTCTTCACCGTCCCACACAAATTTGTGCATTTTAGTTGAGAGGGAGTCTTCAATGTCTTTAGGCAATTCCTGGGCAGTGGTAAGATATTGCGTCATGCTGCCTATTGTTCTTTCCACGATTATTTTTCGTCCTTCAATGGTAGGGTGCCATTTCTCCCATCATTGGAGTGAATTCTCAATTTTGTCTAGGATGGGGGACCATATAGCTTGTTCTTCGATGCTGTTCCCGATCCAGGCTCCAAGTATTCTTGTTGCCTTTCCTTCTTTTGCAATTTCGATGCCATCAGGTAATGCTTCATGTATTTCATTCAATTTTCTTGAGGTTATCACCTTATCTCGGTATTCTTTTGCACCTATTGGAATGACTTTGGTCTTCGATGTATTGAAACGCGCTCCTGATGCTTTACACCAACAGGATAAGATGCCATTTAATGCTTTAAAGTCGTCTTTCTCGGTTAAATAGACCGTCTTATCATCGGCGAACATGGTTACAACTATTTGGTAGGCCATTTCTTTTGCTTTGAATCCTGCAAAGTCTGATTTTCTAAGCATCTCCGCTAAGGGGTCTCCTTGTCAAACACCTCTGGTTACTTTATATTTGGAGCTAATCTCTCCATTTATCATGATGGAAGTTTCTGCGTCCTTGTAGAGGGCTTTCACTGTATTGATGAAGTGGTTTGGTATGTCGAATTTCTCTAGGACTTCCCATAGATAATTATGTGTTATTTTGTCATAGGCCTTCTCCTGGTTGAGTGCCACTATGATGCCATTTTCTTCTTCCACCTCCGCATATTCCATGATCATTTGCGTGAGGCGTATTTGGTCAGTTATGCTCCTTCTTGGAACAAATCCTGCCTGATTCTCATGTATGATTGAGGGCACTGTTCGGGCAAGTTTGAGGGCTAGGGCCTTCGTGAATGCTTTGTAGTCGCCGTTTAATAAGGTGATTTGACGGTAATTAGTGATTTCTCTCCTGTCTTTCTTTTTATAAAGAGGGTGTAGTAGGCCTTCTGAAAAACTGGAATCTTTAGCGATCCCGTGTGTTTCTATGTCATTGAACACCATGGTCAAGCATTTTGCTAGGTCAAATGGTGACTCTCTGTTATCATTTTTTGGGATGGTCTTTGATTTCTCACTTAGCCATTTCCAGAATTCATAGGGCACTCTGTCAATTCCAGGGGCTTTGCCGTTGGGTAAGAGGCATATAACCTCTTCGATATTAGCTTTAGTTAGTGTGTTCTCAAGTTTGCTTTTGTCTACAGGTGAGAGTTTGATTGATATGATGTTTAGGATCGTCTCCAGGGCCACTTTGTGTTCCCCTTCGGGTGCTAAGCCTTCTGATTGCAGTGAGTCGTAATAGTTTCTGGCCAACTCAGCCATTTTATCTGATCTTTGTACATAGATTGGTTCGTTAGGTGAGGAGTCGAGGGATTTAAGTTCAACAATTGTGTCTCGGGGTTTTTGTTCCTTATCCGATTTTGCCCAAAATTTGCTTGCAGGGGACTCATTTTCCAGTCTAACTTTTGCTGCTAAGTGATCTCTTGCAGTGTCGTGTCTTGTTAACTCTAATTGGTTCATTTTCTTGTAGAATTATACTGACTAGTCGTTTGTCTTCGTCAGGTAGTGTTGGGTCGGATAAGGTGGCTTTTAGCTGGGACATTAGTTTGTTCCTTTTCATGGATATTGTCTTCTTTGCTGTGGCTCGACATAGGCTGATTGCCTTTTCTTTAAAGTGCTTAAATGTGGTCTGGGGATTGGATTCGGCGGTGCATTGTTCTTTCGTTCTTGGAATTTCCTGGTGTAAGGTTTTTCCCAGTTCGATGATCTCATCGCCCAGCTTTTTGTCTTCAAGGACATACAAAGGTAGTGACCATCTACCTGTTCCAACGTAAGGCATTGTTTTACTGGAGATTTTGGCTGAGACTAATTGGTGATTAGTGTGCAGTCCAGGGGGGTTATGTCCCAATCTCGACTGAAAGGTAGGAGTTCGTCTTTTACGTAGATGCGGTCTATGCGGGACTGGCATCCGCCTTGGTGTGCTGATTGTGCAAAGGTGTATTGCAGAGTATCCGGGTGTTCTAATTGCCAACCATCTCTAAGTTTCAGGTGAGTTTTAAGATCATTGAGTTTTGAGGTTGATCCTGACGAGTCTTGTTTTGGCAGCAGGCGGTCTAGTGCATCTTCCACCATGTTGAAATCTCTGAGCATGATGTCGGGGTTGGGTAGTCCCCTGAGTTTCGAAAGTATGTGTTCCCAGAAGTATTGGTTGTTTTGTGGGTTGTTTGGGGCATAGACTGCGAGGATCTTGAAGGTGTTGTTCTTTTGCCAGGGTATTATCACAAATAGTGCTCGTCCAGGTACGAGTTCATGAATCTTTATTCCTGACGTATTCATTAAGTTCTTATTGATAGCTATGGCCACTCCTTTGGCATTTGTATGTGCTGGGTCTATGGATGATATGACGCAGAGACGTAGACCAGGCATTAGATTAAGGGCTGATTCCTCCTCTTTGGTTAGGTGAGTTTCTTGTAGCGCTAATATGCCGAGTTTTTGGTCTTTCATTATTTGATTTACATGTGACCATTTATCAGAGCTGTTATGCCATCTGCCTCTCATGTTCAGGGTGGCGACTTTAATGTTCGCACACGATTTCTTGCCTTTGGAGCAGTGTTTAGGGTGCAAGTTTGGCACAGGTCCTGATGGTGAGTCGAGGACATCCGGTGGTGTAGCGGACGCAGCATTTGGTGGTGCTTGTGAGCTTGTGGGCTCGGCATTCTGGGTTATGCGGTTGTGTTGAGCAGTATGCTCCTTGTTGAGGTGAGTGTCGTCAGCTAGATGAGGGGGGAAAAGGTCAGTAGTAGTGTTCCGGTGCCCGTCACTGAATCCTGCTGATCCTTCCTTAAGGGAGTAGCTGACGGGCGAAGCACATCCCTCTCTGGACCTGCAGGGCCTGTAGCTGTTGCCGTGTGTATAGACCGTGTTTGTAGTTTTTGTTTGTGTTGTAGAGTTAGCAGTTAATATACAGCACCATGCCTTAACCACAGCAATGGGCCGTGCTGACTTATCCCAGCCAGACGAGAGGGGGAACTATGTCAGAGGGGGGACAGCATGTTTGGTAAGGCAATAAACGAGGCCCATCCAAGACTTCAGCATCTCTGCACAGCACGTTCCTAGCCTAAATAGGCTGCCGTTAAAGTTAAGTCCGGAGCTTTCCTGTCCTAGCAGTAAATTTGGGCTCCTGTAGACTATCCTCGTTGTGTTATGTACTTGTCTGAATGTTGGGCAAGCCTCCCTCAATCCTTACATTAAGAGACAGACATAACCATGTAGTTCTGTATATACAGGTGATACAGGTGGGTACAATATGTACATAGGCTATCTAGGGCTGAGTCAGGATGATGTGGTGTTGCTAGTTAGGAGAGTCTGTTGTAGCAAGGAGTTTGCTTAGTTACCCTTGCCTCTCCCTCTCCTTGTATGTCCGCAGGTATGACCTCTAGTAAAGCCTCTGTTTCCGCGGGTAGAGCTACCGCTCAAGGCTCCCTTGCCATGGCTTGTCATAATGTGGTTGTCCAAGGTGACATTGGAGGTGTCCTTATCTTCAGTGACAGATGGACCAAACCATCCCGGGATTTTGGGGAAGGGGCATAGACCAGTGGGGTGGTTGAAGGATTTGCAGCCCATGCAAACGAATTGGGCATCTTGGTGGGCTGTGCCATACCCATAGTCTTTGGAGATGTAGAAGAATGTACGCATGAGGGTCGTCCAGTCAAAGTATTGTTTCAGCGTAAATGCGGGAGGGGAATCGAAGTAGATATTCCAGACTGTCTCTTTTACGGATTTAGAGAGGGCGAGACTAATGCTCGAAACCCTGACCAACTCAATAGTGCGTAAGGCTGCTTCAGCATCCGGGAGTGGAATGTTGTCGTGAATGAACTGCATTACGTCAGGGTTAGAATGGATGGTGTCTTTGATGATCTCGGCAATGTCTCTGTTGGTGGCATCAGAGTCTGGGAAGGAGAAGTTCTCCAGGGTGAACATGTATATAGGGAGAGGTTGCTCGAAGGGGACAAAGAAGCAAGAAACGTCTGCGGACGAGCAGACCTGGAGATGAAGGAGTCATTCAATTGCTTCGGGCGGGATTCCTGATATCAGGAAGTGCCATGGGGGGGGGGTAGACGTTCAATAAGTTCTATAGCTGCTGTAGGGGTGCTAAAAATAAGGGTTTCAGCGTCCAATTCTCCTACGATCTTGGTGATGGTGTCTTTCAACTTCGTGACAGTACTTTGTGCATTACTTTCGTATTTAGCCCTGTATGTCCTTACCCAGGCTTTAGCTCCCTCTTTCTGTGGCCATTGTTTTTTCAGGACTTGGGAGACATTACACCAGGTAGATTGGCCTAATTGGGGGATTGGGAAACCTCCGGCAGGAGTAGCCATGATCTTATAACCACTGTCCAGGGTCCTAACTCCATTCACTTGGAGGGATTTATTAGTTTGTTGGTGGTATGAGGGTCGGGTAAGGTACATACCTGAGATCTCTGTCGTGGAGGCAGAGTCAGATTGTAGGTATTGCCATTGATTAACAGGGGTGGGTGGTTGGGTGGGATGTTCCAGGGCGCTTGCTTGTTTTGGCAATGGCGCTTGCATTTTGGGCTGTGGCCTTGGGTTGGGAGGAAGGGTTGTTTTCGTTTGGGTTGGTTGCGACGTCCAGAAGGGGGGATGTGGGGTGGGTGCGTTCGTTAGCACATGAGTCTGTGTTCATGTGGTGTGTGGGGAGGGTTGTCGTAGAGTTCAGCTCTGTCTGAACAGCCAGAGGCATCGGGGCATCAAGAGTGGGAGGCATATTTGAGCAGATTATTATGGTGTTGGTTAGTGGGGGGGAGGTTGTTATTTTTCAACTTAGGACAATGTGATGTTGCACATCGCAGTTTTATAGACTCTAGGTGTTCTTAATCCCTTTGTGAGGTTGGGTCATGAATTTGATCCCTGAGTTTTAAACGAGTAGCATGTATTTTGAGTTACTTTGTGTTCAAGGGCACATGAGGCAGTGAAGTGGCGTTTTGGTGGTTTTTAGACAAAGGTTATTTCTTGTCTTTGTCAAGTGAACGCAGCGTGTTAAGCCTCGTGTTTCAAGTGGGCGTTTGTGATTATAGAGGGAGTAAGGTCACTCTGGCTTTGAGTTTTATTGCGATGAGTTTGTGGTGTAAGTGTCCTTTGGTGAGGGAGTATAGGTATTTAGCTCTGGGGGAGCTTTTGGTGTTGCTAGTTGTGATATGGTAGCATGGTCTCGTCAGTTTATCAGGCACTTAGGCGGCCTGGTAAGGTAGCTTGGGTGTAGTGGCAGGTGGGTGGTTGGTGGGGGAGGCTCTCAATTTTGACTATGCTTGGAATACTGGTGAACAGACTCATATATTGAGGCGCTATGGCTCCTAGTTGGAGAGTAGCGATGGGCGGCACCGTTTAGTGGTGCCACCCTTACCTGACATGGTGGTTCAGGTCCAAGAAGCCCCCCCCCCCCCCCCTATCAATAGGGTTGGGTGTTGGGTAGGTAGTGCCTCTCTCTGCATGTACAACAGGCAAGTATTGCTATCATATCAATGAGCGCAGCACAGCTCACATGCATTTAACTATGAGCAGTCGCCAGTAGAAGCAACAAGCCAAGACATATCTAAACGAGTCTTTACTTTTAGTTACCACCTTGTATCCTACCACTAGCTCGTCCGAGAGTTGCTAAAGTGGCTCTGACAAAAATGACGATTCATCAGCTACGCAAGTTCTGGTGGTAGGAAGCCTGCAGTGCATCAGATGGATGTAGGGCATACCAATATTGCAGTAGTCATACACAAATGACAGTTGTCATAGTATGTGAGATAAACTCAGGCATGGCTATGAACCAAGAAGCAAAGAGAAGCAAATGTGACGAATGGCAGGATTCAATATTCAGGGTGCAGCGCACAGCATAGATGGGCTATGGAGGCGCTTGTTAGGGTATATATATACACAAGGCAGCACCCAAGGCCAATAGTTTCACTCACATCAAGAATTCATCCCTCCCCAACGTCTTCACTGCTAATGTGTTGGTAACACCAAATTTTCATCTGGACCTCCAGTGCTGATGGACTGATGTTCGGCTTTACCAGGGAATCTATCTTCAAATCACTGTCAGCATTAGTCATAGAGTAGTACATCAACACCAGGAGGCCAGTCACCTTCGCACCATTGAACATATCCGTAGGATCCTTGCTCGTACCTGACTACTTCACTGTTTCGCTCGCGGATACATAGCCATGGCTTCTACATCGAGGAAGGCAGCTGCCAAGAAACTGATTCTGAAGCCATCGATGACTTTGAAGGGTCATGGAAAATGGATTCAATCCATATCCTACTTTCCAGATGGCCAGCGAATGGTCAGCGGATCTCGGGACAAGACTGCTCGGCAATGGGATCTGAAGGCGGGCAAGGAGATTGAAGGAGCATGGGGTGTTTTCAAGCCTGAGGTATTTGCAGTGGCGGTATCGAGGGATGGTCGATGGGTTGTCACTGGTGGTGGAGATTGGAATAATGGGGAGCTGAAAGCCTGTGAGGTTGAGACAGGGTCCGTGAAAACATTCGAAGGACACTCGCAGCACATTAACTGCATTGACATCTCTGTAGACAATGTGCTGCTGGCAAGTGGGGCAGGTGATACAACAGTGCGGACATGGAACTTGGACACTTGGCCAGTCCATTCAAGAGCATTGGTGACATGGGCACGGTTCATTTCTCCCCAGACCCAAAGAAGCTCGCAGTCAAGTCATTGGCGGGGAAGTGCCTCAAGGTCTGGGACGTCCAATCAGGGAAATTGGATGTGAGGATAGGGCAATCAGGTGCTGGAACAATCACATATGCGCCAATGTTTTGGACAAAAAACAACAAAAACATCATAGTGTAAGTAGTCAAGACTGTCGTCCCTTAACAGGTATGCCAAAAGGCAGTGATAATCAAAGCTCAAGCTTGATTATCTCGGACAGTATTTATGTTGATTATGGGAACTCAGGTAAGCAACAAGCTTACACATAGCCGCTTTCAGGTTCACAGATAGATGGCAGTGCCAACACGATCTATGAGTATGACACGTTGATGCTGGAGACTGTCGGAACTCCCTTTGAAGGGCACACCTTGACTGTCACAGGTCTAGCACTTTCATTTGATAATACTCTCCTCGTTAGTGCTTCCCACAACAATACCATCAAGTTCTGGGCTTTCGAGTCTCGCCAGCTCCTCACTTCCTTCAACACTTACAGTGACTCAAAAAGGTAATGCACAAAACATGAATTACCACCTTTCGTCCTTGTACTTCAACAACATTATATTAATCACTGTTCTAAGTATTTCAATATCATGATTCTTGTCTTGGCTATCAGTGAGATGTAAATTTTCAAAATAATATGAATATTTGAATTGACTACACGGACTTTTGTAAGGACAATGCTGTGCGTTTTATATTTTGACACAGTGTGCATTACGAAAGTGTGCCCCCACCACAATTTTCTTCACCACAAACACCCCCGTAACACTCATATATCTATTGAAAGACCTCCTGCCTACTAGCCATCCATGCTGGGATATTCCACTCCTACAACAAAGGCTTGAATTTGTTGTGACAAAGCAGCGGGTCTACATGAAGCAGACATCGCTGAAAAGTTTGGCCTACATCGCACTACTGTGCCCCGTTGTGGTGATCACAACCTGGCAGGCACATATAAGAAAGGTGCTCAACCAGTATAAGTGAGTCTTGGCTCTGCCTAGCTGCTACACTTGCAGAATGCAAGAGCGTTCGACCCTAAAGGGGAAGCAAGGAAAGCAAGGATCCACGGAATGATGCTGATCAACCCTGGTGAATGGCGATGAAAGCACGAGAAACGCGCTGAAGGCGCGCATGGGAAAGTGAAGTGCGAAAGAGCGTGAAGTGCAGGAAGGTAGTGCAAGCAGTGCACAAGTGAAAAAGACGTGAACTGAGACTGATGAGAGACGACTGATGACGATGATAGGATGAGAAAGGCGACTGAGGACTGATACTGATGTTGCCACTAGCTAGAGACTGCTGCTAGGGCCTATGATGACGAATACATGCATTTCATGGAACTAACTGCCAAGTAACATGGTGGTAGATGATACTGAGTGGTAGGAAGCTAAGGTGGTAAAGTTTGGGTGTAAAACGAACATGACAGTATGTAAGTTCTACCTAAGCGCTCTCCCAGGGCTTGGAGCCGAATAGGGAGCACTCTAAGTATGTAAGTGAGGTAAGGTGATATAAAGTGAGGGTGCATAACAAAATAGGAAGTGTAATATGCTAAATATAGTCAGATAACGAAAAGGGACATACCAAGGGACTGGTTGGACGATGGATGGATGCTCCTGGGTGCTGTGCGACACAGGGCGCTTAAGTGCGAGAAAGTGTGCAATGCGCACATGCGGGAATACTGCGCGTTGTGTGGGAAAGTGTCGCGCCTATGGCGCGTTTCGCGGGAAAGCTGCACATGATACGCAGAGTCGACTGAAGACTTGGTGGAAATCATATGGATGATGGTGCGAGTTGTGCCATGAAACGCTAGTTGTCAGAATTCGTAATATGGGCCCATAACAGCCTGCAGAAATGCGAGTCTCTACACCGTATCATCAAGCGATACACTCAAACTGAAGATTACTATGATATGAAGGCAAAATCAGGCTGACCTCGCAAGTTCACGCCACATGATGTTCGTGTGGCAGTCCGTGCTTTGGCACACACTGAGGCACATGACGTTGCCGATCTACAAAGGAAATATTTCCCCGAGATCAATGCCCAAACAATCTGGACAAGACTTAAAACATGTGGCTTAAATGCTTACATTTGCTGTACAAAACCCCTTTTGACAGCAGCTCACAAGGCGAGGCGGTTAGAGTGGGCCAAAGCCCATGCTGATCGGTCAGCAGATAACTGGAAGGCTGTTATCTTCTCAGACGAGTCTAAATTTAATCTTTTTGGATCGGATGGTTGTTCATGGTGTTGGAGGAGGCCAGAGGATGAATTTGATCACCAGTATACAAAAAAGGTGGTGAAACATGGTGGTGGACGAGTCATAGTTTGGGGGTGCATCACTGCTGAAGTTTAGGCTGAATTTCCCACATTGATGGCAATATGGACGTGGCCTTATATGTTGAAATTCTCAAGGATGAATTCCTCGGGACCCTTAGTGACCTCGAAATCAACAAAACGAACATTTATTTCCAACAGGACAATGATCCCAAGCACACTTCGAAACTCGCACAAGAATGGTTCCGGAAAAAAAAGGTCGATACACTGGACTGGCCCCCAAATAGTCTGGATATGAGCATTATTGAGCACATTTGGGACTATTTGGATTGTCACGTCTGCACTCGCACACCGCTGCCATGGAACTGTGCTGAGTTATGGGAGGCTTTAGTGGAGGAATGGGGTCGTGTCGAGGAGGAGTACATCACAAAGTTATATGAGAGCATGCCAGAGCATGTTAAGGCCCTTCTTGATGCTAAAGTGGGACATACTAAGTATTAGAAAGTTTTGTGGCATTATCTTTTGATTTGCACTCACTACATCCATTCTTTTCCTAGCCCTACCACATCCAAAAAAGAATTGCACCGTACTCTTCATTTTAATCACTCTTTTACAGCTCATATATTGCAGTACATAAATTCTTCTTCATATGACTAGTTACTATGGACCTATGGCTCTCTATAGAGCGTACTTTCTTGATGCAATCCCTGCAGGAGGACGAGAGCAGCAAAGATTATATAATTTGCACATGCTGTGCATTGCCTTTTTGAGTCACTGTATATCTATGCCCTTGTCCTCTCACCTGACTCACACCAACTAGCTTACACGAAATCCACCTACAACGATCACATTTACATATATGATATTCCATTCGACGTTGTCGCTCAGGTTAGCATATTGCTCCCCGCAAACAATTTTTTACAGACCAGTGCATGCAAAAAGTCACCCCATAGCAATTTACCACCTCCCCATATCAGCTTCGCCCATTGTCGTGCAGGGTCCGAATCTTGGACTGACAGACACGCTAGAACCTTTTGCACACAGCCTACTGACATGCAGCTATCGTCTACTACAATGTGGGGGCAACCCTATGAACTGGGATTCCAGCCACTGCGCCAGGACACACTGCATTCCAATGAAGGTCCAAACTCAGATATCTCAAGTACAACAATATCACCTATCATAGCTCTTCCTCCACTGCAGATACCCTCTTTTACAGTATGTTCATGGCCACCCCAGTTGCACCCCAACCCCCGCGAGCTCCTTCCCTCCTCTTCCCATACGCATACAGTCTTTTCCACTCATAATGTTGAGCCTGACAATCTCCCCCCTGAAGCAATGCTCCAAGACACCTCAAAATATATCACCAAGGATGGAGATTACCCTGTTGCTCGTGGTGGGTTCGGGGAGATCTGGAAATGCACATTTTACAAAGATCATAGCGCAGTCAAGGTTCATTTGCCGTCTTTTGTCCATCTGCATGAAATTAATTATCTTGCAGGTTGCAGTGAAAGCATTGCAGGTGTACACTGATGATCAACTTGGGGCAGCGAAGACAAAAAAGATCAAGGTGAGTGTCTTATCGAGGGGCTTTGTCTATTGCTTACACCACAGGGTGCTGCTTCATAGAGGATGAAGCATGAACTCAGGATATATGTCAACCTCAACCATTGTCACAACCCTTATAACGAATTAATGCAGGGGCAGAGACTAGGACTCAAACAAAGGATATCACAACAATGAGAAGGAGAATAGCAGGTACATCTCGGATTGCTAGCAATGAGCTAATACACAAGAGGTTTGAACTGAAGAACTACTGACTACAATGAGCTACCTATATACATATATTGAAACGGAGATTGAATCTGAGAATGAACTAACTAGCCAATCATTAAATAGAAAAGGAATCATATGATGATCTAAATATAACTACACCTATGATGTCATGAAATGTGTGACTGCTGTGCAAGGGTTCTGTTCGGTTCTAGTGTCACGTGACTTGATTGCTTGTGAAAGGAAGTCGAAGTCGGGAATATCGGAGATAAGGGTAGTGGGTGCTAATGGAATAGAGATGTTTGGAAATGTAAAGGATGGGTTCGGGTTAGGGTTTGTGAAGGTTATTGGTACAGACACTGATTGAGCACTAATGACAGGCGCTTGTGACGGGCGCTTAAAGGATGTTTTACAAGTGTTCAAGTAAGAATAATGGTTTGTATTTGGAACTTGTGACAACCATGCAAATATTCTCCCCATTTTAGGTCTACATGTGGCTTCGGCCCATTTATAGCAATAGCCAGTCCTTGGGTGGAGAAAGATAACTTGACCATCTATTTGGAGCATGAGGGTGCAGTTCTTACTGTCATTAGGCAATTCCAGCTAGCAAGTCCTCCCTTCATGTATTTTGGGTAGACCACAAAACTGACGGAAAACTTAGCTAAGAGATATCATAGCTGGTCTACAATATTGTATGTGATAGACTTCACTGTTCCTGGACCAAGCCATAACTATTCCTCATAGTTCACGCCAACAGTATCATCCACGGTGACTTCACTGGGGTGAGTTCAATCTTATCGATGGTTCCGATTCCATTGAGATGTGAGCTCCAGCCTAATGTGTTGATCCATGGTGATGGCACTGCGTGTGTTGCTGACTTTGGCCTTTCGTTGATGTATTCCGAGTTTATAGTTTATAAGCACCTCTCAGGCTTCCTGGACTTCCACGCTCAAAGGAAACATGCGATGGATGGCTCCCGAGCTACTTGGAGAGCAGGAGGATGGCTCTCAAGCTCGGCTAAGCAAGCAGAGTGACATGTATTCATTTGGCGGTATCATGCTGCAGGTACGTCCGGGTTAATTTTGACCTCTCATTGATATCACGAGCTCCACTTGTAGGTCCTCACTGTCATATACCATATTCCTGGGTACAGATCCGAAGATCCGGATCTCAGATCCAATCCAGATCTGATGGACATATCCATCGTCCGGTCCACAGATCCGATCTAATCCTTATTTCATGTCCTGTTCATATAACTCTAACTATCGTTCATCTCCTTTCGGCATTCCTGTACACCAGTATACCGGTTATTTTTTACTTCTGTTATGCTTACTGATCTGCTACACTTACTGATCCACTTTAGCTTATACTTCGTTCCCGGTTATGATTCGTTACCCATCTGACTCACCGATATGCTATACAGGATTGATTCCTATAGTCTATATATCCGTCTCTGTCTTTGACAGTCCTTGCCCGTTAGTTTCTAGCTCGGATCGGATCCGGATTAGCCATTACTATATACGTTCAATATCCGAAAGCCTTAACGGATCCGTTACGAGACTTATCCGTCTCAATATACGTGATACTCTAGTACTCTGAAATAAGGGGCAAGACTCGGGAAAGGGGCACAGTGCACAAGCTGAGGCTGAAGCCCTTCGGATCCGATACTACTTGAGTATGGTCTTAACAGTATATTCGAACTCATACCTTTCCGAGTTACTTACACCTATCATGCCTCCAACCAAGACACAAACAACTCTGCACGCGGTCGGACTTACCTCCCTCTGTCGTGATCCGACACCCATAGTCAACACCTTCACCAGTTTCTCTCAGCGATGCGTTAGTCGTGGACCCGCTCAAACCATATCCGAACTCCTTAATCGTCGACACCCGGAAACCCCTACGCGCACTCCTGCCGCAGGGCCTCCGGACGATGATGATGATCCTGACGATGGTGATGATGACTTCCCTGGTCATCCACCCGATGACAACGGTGGTGATCCAGATGATGATCCAGACGATGATGACGATGAAAACGACGGCTTAAACCCACAGGACCGCATTATGCTTCGACTATCAGAAGTCATCGATAACCTTGCTCGCAATAATCATCGCGCACCTGCATCTGAAGATTCTAAAGTCAAGGTCCGCGAACCGGATACCTTTGACGGATCCGAACCACGGAAGCTCCGTGCGTTCTTCGTCCAGTGTGAGCTTAACTTCCAGAGCAAGCCTAAGGCCTTCCGTACCGGAAGGGCTAAAGTCAACTTCGCCCAATCCTACCTTAAGGGTATGGCTCTTGAATGGTTTGAACCGGATCTCCTGTCCGATGATTTGGACGATCGTCCGGATTGGATGGACGACTATTCCGTGTTCATGCTTGAACTCCAAACCAATTTCGGACCTCACGACCCATCCGGTGATGCAGAAATGCAGCTCAAACAGCTCCACATGTGTGACTGACAGCGCATCAACAAGTACGTTGTGGAATTCCAGCGTCTTGCTTCACAGGTCCGTGGCTGGGGCGACGGAGCCTTACGACGCCAGTTCTATAACGGACTTCCGGCCCGCATCAAGGATGAAATCAGTCGCATGGGTAAACCCTCTACTCTTTCCGAATACAAAATCCTCGCTCAGACTATTGACGTCCGATACTGGGAACGGAAGGGAGAGATCTCCCGAGAGACTAAACCCGCTTCATCCACTACCCCTAAGCAATCCGCTTCTGACTGGACCAACGCCAATGCGTCCGGATCCGGAAATAACAAATCCGGAAACTCCAACTCCAGTAACCAGAAATCTGCGAAGCCATCCAGCTCCTCGAGCTCGTCCGCTCCTAAGGTTCCGGACCTTAATTCCAAGCTGGGTAAGGACGGAAAGTGTTAAAATCGTACTCAAGTAGTATCGGATCCGAAGGGCTTCGGCCTCAGCTCGTGCGCTGTGCCCCTTTCCCGAGTCTTGCCCCTTATTTCAGAGAGCTAAAGTATCGCGTCTAGTGAAACAGATAAGTATTGCAATGGATCCGTTAAGACTTCCGGATATCGAACGTATAGAGTAACGGCCAATCCGGATCGGATCCGGACTAGAAACTAACGGGTGAGGACTGTCCGAAGACAGAGGCGGATATGTAGACTATAGGAATCTATCCTAAGTCTCGGAGTAGACAAGAGTAGCGTACTCAAGTCCGGATGGATATCGGAGGGACTCAGAGTCCAGACGGAATGAGTGCAATCTAAGATGATATTCGAACTGATCTACTACAGCGCATATACCAAGGTTTATATACTACGGATAGCTAACGGAATGATCAATAAGCAAAGGTGCGAGGCTATGTATGAAAGTATAAGCAAAGTCTAAGTGGAGCGTATTGGTAAGTTGGATGGATCACAAATCATGAACCGGGAATGAAGTACAAGTAAAAGCGGATTCGTAAGTGTAGCGGATCAGTAAGCATAGCGGATCAGTAAGCAAAGCGGAAGTAAAGGATAACCGGTATACCGGTGTACAGGAATACCGAAAGGAGATGAACGATAGTTAGAGTTATATGAACAGGAAATGAAATAAGAATCAAAGCGGATCTGTGGACCGGACGATGGATATGTTCATCGGATCTGGATCGGATCTGAGATCCAGATCATCGGATCTGTAACTGGATATATGGTATATGACAGAAAGTTAACGTCCGAAGAGCGGCAAGAGAAGATTGGACAAGAAACTCTGCTTGTTCTGTGGCAGACCCGGCCATACGGCTCAGGAATGCAATAAGTCTACTTCGCGCGCTGCCAAGGGCCGCGCTGCAGTAGTTGCTCCAGAAGTCAAACCGGAGGTCTCTACTGAGACAAAAAAATAGTCCGTGACCCTCCTAGCTCCGTGCAGGAAGAGGGTCGCGTTGACTCTGCCTGCACAAAGGAGTTAAGACTCAACGCTGTCGCGCTCTTGGATCCGACTTCCCTCTGTCCATATGTTTCACTTCCAATACTCCCATCCGTATCTGATTTTCCAGCTCTTGTAGATTGTGGTTCTTCTCATTGTTTCATAGACTCTGCGTTCATCTGAAAACATAAAATCCCTACATATCCGATACCCCTGACTCCGCTCCGCTTGTTTGATGGTACTTGTAATAATACTATTCCGAAGCTATAGATTTGTCCGTCCATTTTCCGTCCGGTGTAGTCACCTCCGATACGTTCTACGTTACCCCTTTGGATTCATCTTGTTTTATCGTTCTTGGATATAGCTGGCTCACCCGACACAATCCGTTGATTGACTGGGTTTTGGGCAGCATCGAATTCCGGACGACATCTCATGGAATGCATCGACCCCTCCGACGTCACTTCCATCCTTGGATATCCCTCCTTCGATGGAAACCATACCTCCTCTGACTACATCCGTACCCTCCGCTGATAATACCGTTCCTAACATATCCCTAATCAATGCAGTCGCCTTTTGTCGGGCCTGCAAGTTAGAAGGATCGGTCCAGTTCAGTATATACCTTCATCCATCCGGTGTCGATCTCCGGTCCGTGTCTCTCTCGTCCGATCCTCCGGATCTATCCAAAATTCCTTCGGACTATCATGAGTTTGCGGATGTCTTCGACAAGGGAAAGCTGGCCAAACTTCCTCCACATCGTCCTTATGATCTGAACCATAGATCTGGAAGAAGGAACTAGTCCTCCCCTCAGAACTATCTATTCTCTATCCACGGTTGAGCTTGCAGCCCTCCGGAAGTTTCTTGATGACAATATTGCCTCTGGACTCCTCCGCTCCTCATCCTCTCCTCATGGAGCTCCGGTCCTATTTGTCAAGAAAAAGGACGGCTCTCTCCGCCTTTGTGTGGATTTCCGTGGACTCAACCAGATCACTAAGAAAGACCGATATCCGTTACCCCTCATTGCCGACCTATTAGACTCTCCGAGCCACGCTAAAGTCTATACCAAAATCGACCTCCGATCCGCTTATCATCTTGTCCAG